TCTCCTTTTTCTTCTTAGTTTAAGTTTCGATTGAGAAGATATATCAAACACCCGAGAAAGTGTTTGACCACATTTTTAAACGCTTCAAAGTTCGTCAAAAATTCTCCGCTACGCGTCGTATTTTCCACTCTCTTCTCGGTGTTTGGAAATGTGGTCAAACACGGTCTTGAGGGTTTGATATATTTCATAACAAAAACTACAATGCAACAAATTATGTCTACGTAAGGTCGTGATCAGTTGTAAGATGGCTACTGATTTACTATGCAAATCGTGATTGGAAGGAGATCTTAGCTTGAATAAGCTCTTCTAAGCAAGGCGAAGCCTTGGGAACGAAGTTACTCTTCTATGAGGATCTTCTGGATGTCACGTATGCAGTACATGTAGCTGCAGATGGATTTAATTTTATTTTATTATCAATTTTAGAAGAATTTTCTAAACTCAAGGCGATGTTAAAGGTTCCATGGAAAAATATATATATTCCTTTTCAACAGTAGACTAAGAGATTCACAATGGATACCCAGACTATCATTCGGCCTTGGCAACAGAAAATGGGTAGATGTCCCCTCATTTTCTCTTGGTCTTGTTGGATTACCAAAAACAATTAAAGAAGTCACAACGCTTTCTAATTCCAAGAACCGTATTAATTAAGACACATTTTGCAAGCTAAGAAGTCTGTTCCATTTGGTTGTCATAAGATGTGTTTCGTACCTCTCATTGAAGATATACATTGTTATTAGACTTAATTAGACTTTCTAACTTTGTTATGTATATGCATGGTACTTTGATTATAATAGTCATGCAGGGCTCCAACTGATACCAGCCTAGCTAGAGTTGAAGGGGCTATCCTGCTTCAATAAAGTTGACTTTGAATTGTCGTTTTGGCTATTTGGCAGTCATACTGCAAATCATCAACTTTATAGTGTTCACTGATCTCTATACGACGGCTCAAAGCGATAGTACAATTCGTAAACTCTATTAAAATAAAACTCTTTCCTGTTACTAAAGACTTACCCTAAACAGCTTTCAAACCCTGTGGTATCCGAATAATCATACCCCGCGATACAGGCTTCACACTCTGTATCTAATTTCTTCGAACAGTTGGTTTTCACGCCGTGGCCAGGAGGGCAAAGTGAACAGGAAACACAGTGCGTCCCATTCCAGAATTGTGACTGAAGGCAGTCATCAACGGCCGCCAGCTAAAAGTTAAAATAATAACAATCATCATCATCATCATCATCATCATCGCCATCGCCATCGTCACCGTCATCGCCATCGCCATCGTCATCGCCATCGTCATCGTCATCGTACTGAAGGCTAACCCTAGCAGCTCTTTTTAATCATTGCGATCCGACAGATTAGACGCGACTCGTTCTCAAATTCACTAGTGCACCACTTCGAGTTCAGAGATATTTTACACTTAAGGTTACAAGTTCGCAAGCGAGTGTACTTAACAGTGGTAGAGGAAAGAAAATCAGACAAACGTAGTCGTTTATGGATGCTTTAAACAAGAGAAACGTTAGTTAAATCAAGTCAATTATCTGCAGATTAGCCAAATTTATAGAGTATTTATTTTATTTCAAGTGCATGCAATACAAGTCTTTGCTTTGATCAACTTAAAACGCCACTTCAAACTGTTTATATTTGTAAAACAATGGCCACATGAAACTGACTTCTAAATGTATTGACTTTTGATAGTCTTAATTTGTAAATGATTGCGAAAACCGTCACAGCTCCAACAATCGCGCTTTAGAGGGTCTTGTTTTAAGATGACGTGCAAAAAACTGACTGCACTCGACTAGCGAACTTTTTCTCAGTAAAGACTCGTAACAATAAACTGAGCGGAATTAAAGCTTTAACTTATATTATAATTGAAAAAGAGCACAATCTAAACAGACAGACATCAATATTGCTCTAACCTTTCTGATAAAAAAATAAAAAAATAAATAATAATAATAATAATAATAATAATAATAATAATAAAAACTGCTCTTTCGGCATGCAATTTGAAAAGCAAGGTACCCCGGATTTCTGCTGCAAGTATTAAATCCGTCATTAAGACGATATCATTTGAAGCTTTTATATTAACCATTTGTCTTCTGCGTTTAGGCGATAGTAGTGAGTCGTAAACAATCTGTTTTAAAATAGTTCTGTCTACCACACAGATCTTTTAAGCGGTCTGAAGTGGTGACCTCGTGTTTCATCACTGCAAGACGGAACAACTGTGTTTAATGTTTCCAAAAATACAATCTCTACAACATGTCGTACTTGAAACCATGATTTATGACGCTTTCTATTCTCTCGTCTCTCGCTGAGCAAAAAGAGAAGGGAATCTCTTCCTCGCAGGGTAAAGCAGTAACGGCATAATTGAAATATTTATTTTTGTTTTTGAAAGAATATACGGACAAGATATGTTTAATTTATCAACGGTCATTGAAGATAACACCAACATTGCTGTAGCCCTGGGGGTTTGTGAAAAATTGGCTGTGTTTTCACGATTGGTGACGCTTCTTTTCACAGCGATGATAATAATGTTATTGACAGCTTTCATTGAAAATAGTTTTCCGCTTTTTGACCCTTGTGGTAATACAGTATTTATATTTTCATTCTAAGAGCAATTATGACATCTTCACGACATAGCTTTTGTTCATTCTCTGCATTTCGAAAACAATATCACATTGTAATTTAAATCAAGTTAAGCTATTTATGTTTGACAGCTACATGTATTTTAAGAAAAGGCATGTACGGTGTATGTTTACGGGTGGTCTGAGATGCTATACAGTCTTTGTGCAACACAAACTTTGGAAACGACGTAGTCAGCGCTTTTTTTCGTCGTTTTACAAAATCGAAACCTCACACTGGCCCGTCCAGGCGCTCTGAGACATAATCATATTACTTACGGCTTTGAGTTTCAAATTAATAACGAGAGCAAAAAAAAAAAGA